AAGTATAATGAAGCTATTATAAAGTACAGTGAAATAGTTAATGCGGCTACATGTATTTTATTTCAATGTTAGCATTGAGGTGGTTCCATGGTATGCATACATAAAGCCCACTAGAGTCATCTTCTCTTAAAATAATTGTACCCTCATTCTCACACTCCGAGAAGAATTCAGGCTAGCAGACTTTCACTTTTCCTGGACTAGAACATCACTGTGGAGGGAAATGATATGATCTAGCTTCCAAAACAGATCTGCCCTACTGCTCAGTAGTGATGAGTGTGGTAGTAGGAAGCCACGAGGCCACCCTTATAAGACTAGATCTCTGCTTGCCTGGACAGGGCTGGGGAAGTGAGGTGAGGAGGTCAGGGCCATTTGGGTGCACCAGATGGAGCACAAGATTGGTAGTTGGGGTCCCACTGGTGTGCCCATGCAACCTCAATCTCGCCTCCACCTCAGTGCAGGCCCATCCAAGCAAGGAACAGTGATGCTGGTGTTTGGAGGGTATGTCGACACCACCATGTGTACCGCTGCTGCAACTGCTACTATATCACATATCAGTTGCCCAACTGTACTTAAAGCACCACCACACTACTTTAAGCAGTCATGGTTTTCCTCAAAGAACCATGAGAGTTGTAGTTTGTTAAGGATGCTGAGAGCTGTTAGGAGGTGCCCCCTCCATTTCCCTCACCACAGAGCTCTCTGGGAAGAGGAATTTATTGTTAAACCACTTTGAGAACTGTAACTGTAACTCTATGAGGAGAATAGGAGTCTCCTAACAATTCTCAGCATCCTTAAAAGGTAAAGGTAAAGGGACCCCTGACCATTAGGTCCAGTCGTGGCCGACTCTGGGGTTGCGGCACTCATCTCGTTTTATTGGCCGAGGGAGCTGGCGTACAGCTTCAGGGTCATGTGGCCAGCATGTCTAAGCTGCTTCTGGCGAACCAGAGTAGCACACAGAAACGTCGTTTACCTTCCCACTGGAGCAGTACCTATTTATCTACTTGCAATTTTTGGTGTGCTTTCGAACTGCTAGGTTGGCAGGAGCAGGGACCGAGCAACAGGAGCTCACCCTTTTGTGGGGATTCAAATCGCCGACCTTCTGATAGGCAAGTCCTAGGCTCTGTGGTTTAACCCACAGCACCACCCGTGTCCTACAACTCCCAGGATTCTCTGGCGGAAGCCACAACTGTTTTTAAGTGCCACCATGCTGCTTTAAATATATAGTGCAGATGGGCCCTAAGTTGCAAACTAGAGTTTCCATCAAGTATTCTGTGTTCTACTGAGTTCAAAGGGATTACTTCTAGGTATGTGTGCACAGGATTGCAACCATAAACACTTAGCTAGGATTCTCTGCTAACAACCTTCAAAACCAAAGGCTTACTGGCATTCCAGGTGGCCCCAAATAAGCAAAGGTTTAGCGAAAGGCCTACTTGTGAGACCAGAGAATTTTGTCTCTGTCCCAGCCAACACCTAAAGGCTAGCCATGCTGTTTGCCCTGAAGTTAACTCAGCAGTGACTCTCTTGTTTGCTTACCTTTCTAAAGTCCACACTGATGTAGTTCTCTTTTTGTTATTTGAATCCATTTGCCTGACATCAATCTGTTATTGTTTCTTCTTCTTCTTTGTCTTTTTTTATCCAGTATGGAAACAATAATAAAAAAAAATCAATAGGAGATAATGTTAAAAAGCGTGGATGAAAACTGATATGCTTTAGAGCGCACTCTTACCAGATGGGAATATTTTATTATAGAGTAAAGAACCACATCAAAAATAACTTCAAAAGTTGCAAAACAAGGATCCTTTCATATGATGAATTCCTTCACTTCTTGGCTTGGGTGAAATTAACAAGCAGGGCTAAAAAAACAACCACAACAACCTTGCAATCTCCAATAATTCTTTGGTCCCAGGCATCTTGAGGAATAAAAAATGATGAATGCTGCGTCTTCTTTTGAATTGCCAATAAATCCTGCAGTAGGCCATCTCTCTCCTAAGTATCCCTCAAAGGTCAGAAAGGGATGGATACCACATTTAAAAACCTAAAACATCCCACCCTGGTAATTGGATCAGACCTGCAGGACCTTTGGCCAGTTAGATGTGGATAAATGGTGAATGGCTGAATGGCATCATGTGCTAGAGACGATGATGCACATCTCTGCCAATTGAAAAACTCATTAGAACTGAGGATCCCAGCAGAGACAGGCTTGGAATCCTCCTTAGGAGAGAACACACAACTCACTTGGGGGAGGGAGTATAACTCTGTGGTAGAGCATGTGCTTAGTATGTGAAGGTTTCCATGTTCCATCCTTAGCATCATCAAGTAAAGTTGGACAAGATCCCTTTCAGAAACTTTAAAGACCCACTACAAGTAGACCAGGATGAAGATCAGAAATTGGGAAGTGGTGACCCTACAGATCTTGTTGGCCAATGCCCAGGGTTCATGGGAGTTGTAGTCCAACAACTGGAAGGCCATTGCTTCCTCATTCCTGCTGTACATAATATGGAGCTAGTTTGGTTAGACTGGTATGGGGCAGCTTTCTCTGCTAGTTTTGTCAGGGGAAAGTATGACAAGCCATTCACTACAATGATAGACTGTATGTACATGACTATTGTGGTGCACCGAGTACTGTGCTGGTGCCCAGTGACAAATTCATAGAGAACAAGGCTATCAGTGGCTACTAGCCATGAAGGCTATGTTCTGCCTGCACTATCAGAGGCATTGTGCATCAGAATACCAGTTGTTTGAAACTGCAGGTGAGCAGAGTGTTGTTGTGCTTGTGAGCTGCTTGCAGGTTACCTACACACATCAAATTGGCCAGTGTGAGAAAAGGAAGCTGGACGAGATGGGCCATCATCCTGATTCAATAGGCTCTTATGTTTTACACCCTTTCAAGACAAACATGAGCAATGCCAAACAAACTCAGGTAAGCAAGTGCATGTTCTTGTTTATCAAGTACACCAGGAGTCAGTGTAGCAAGCATGTTGTGAAAATACATATCATGTTGGTTACAGGAAGCTTTCGTGCAGTACTAGGGAATTCAGTAAATTGCTCTCTGGTGAGGCAAGACATATCTGGGGACAGGGGTGGCAACTATTTAAAATTCCCTATAGATTCCTCATGGTATCAGAGCATTGTCAGAAACTTAAAATGGAGGTTCATACTCTCAACTGCTGCAAGGATCCGTGGGCAAGTATCTGTGCCGTGCTGGGGAACTGGCAATAGTTTAAAGATGCTGAGCGTTGATGCCAAGGCCCAAACAGAGCAGCTGAGCTGGCCTTTACTTTGCTTATGCAAGAATAACTCTTTGAAAGCTCAGCACCTAAGGACCTTACTTCAGAAATGTGATAAATAAGTGCAATTGCTTCCAGAATTCCCAGCTTATTAATTTCTCCTTGAGCTTTTGAGGTCAAAATTATAAGTATTGTTTCTGAAAGTGAAAAGACATATAATGAATCCCAATGCACAGCACCTAAGGTTACATGATGGAAGAAGGGCTGGAGAGAACTGCTACAAAATAAATACGGTAAGATAAATACAATGATTTCTGAAGTTTGTACAGAGTGCAGTGCATACCCAGTTCACCGAAGCCGTTACTTCAGCTGATATTTGTCTTCCCACCATGCATTACTGACACACATATGCAGATTGATAAAACACAGCTCATCCACAATTACAAAGGAATGTATGCATGGCTCCGCTTCATCCATGGGAAGTGGTTTATGCATGAACAGGAGCACACATCAATACTGAGACTGCAGCGAAAGCCTCTGGCAAAATTAATGACAACAAGACAGACAAAATAGGTCAGATAGCAACATCTGCATATGCTATGCAAATGGTAGGTCAACACTTTGCATGCAGTTTTGAAGATGTTCTGGGAAATGTCACTGTGCATATTCTTAAAGTTTGAAAGAAACACGATGAGTGGTTAAACACATGCCCCAAATATGACTATGTATTAGTGCAGGTCCATGGTCCGCTTAGTTGTTGCTGGATTCCAGGTGCCATCAACCCCAGGCATCAATGGTCAGGGATGATGGAAATTGTAGTCCAAACCCACTTAGGGTCACAGGTTTCCCATTCCTGTGATAGCGGCAAACATATTTGCTTGCAACTGTGTTCATGTAGGTAAGAGCACTTCTCAAGAACAGTGAACCAACACAGACACAACTGCCTAGTTCAGAACTTGACAAACAACATTTTCCCTTTAGCAGCATGTAGAATGATAACCCTTAGGTGGCGCTGCTGTTCTTCCAAAAACACTTTGCAAATTCCAGAAGCCAGAGTGAAAAACAAGACTCCTTGCAAAATATATCCAGGACCAGGAAACATTGTGGGTATTTCATAGAATGCATTAGAACCTGAACTTTTTATTGCTATTTTGCTTAATTAGAAAGAAATATATTTGGAATAAACTTTTTAATAAGCAATGGGTATGTCTATGCCCATCCAACAACATGCAGCTTTAAAAAGCTAATCAATATAAGCTACACAGTATATCGCTTGCGCATGTCTAGACACTAAATGATCGCTGGCCATCTGAATGCCAAGGGCAACATTATTTACTCTTTCCAATGGATTTAGATGCTGCAAAAGGACACATTGTTGTTCAATGTGTTGCTAAATCTAAGTACTTTAATTAAGCTGCATTGGTTTTCATTATACAGGTTTGGTGATGCCAAAGCATTGCAACAGACATTCACTACAGTTTCACATTAATGTCTTTCTAAGCATTTCTGTGGATGGAACAAGGAAAAGCCATGTCCTACGTTCACTTTGATCACCTCTTGGGTTCTGCCCAGGTTGTTTTCTAGGATGGAGCCAGAAGTTGCTTGTTTCCTTTCATCACATTTGGGGCCATCATTAGATCCATAATTTAACTCAATGCTAGTGATCTTTTCCAAAGGGACAAGAGTAAGGGGGGGGAAAGAACCTTTTGCACCCCGAATGCCACACTCCTTTCTTGAAAACCTTCGGGGGGGCATGTTGGAACCAGAGGAAAGCATGGGCAGAGCAATGAATGCAAATTGTGTGTGTGTGTGTTTGCATGTGTGTGCAATGGGCTAGTTTACACACACACAAACACACACACACACACACACACACACACACACACACACACACCTTTCTCTGCCCTCTGTAGAGGCAAAAGGCAATATCCAGGTTCAAGGACACATTCCATTCAGTCAAAAATGCTCATGGAGGGTGCAAGGCAGGGCCAATAGGGGACACAGCTGGGGAAGCTGTGAAGCCCAGGTCCGAGTTCCCTGCTCAAGAGCTTCAAAGCATGAGCCCACTGACAACTCTTGGGGTCTCCTGGTCCTCCTTTCCCTTCTCCTTGCTTTTCTCCTCCTCCTCCTTTCACTTCACTTGCCCCTTCTAAGCAAGCAACAGGAGCAAAGATGAGGAGCAGCAGCTCCTGTTTACCTTTCACTCTTCATCTGGGTAGTCATCCTGTTTGGAACCAAATTAAAAGGCAGTGAGTAGGTAGTGGTGACAGCAGCAAGAGAGAGCTAGAGGAGGGGCTCACTGACGGCATTTAGCTCAAGCCCCATTCAGAGCTGTGTTAAGCATATGTGGTGCCGGGGTGCAAAGATCCGCCTGCCCCCCCCCCCGGTTGCCCAGTCCCAGGCGCGCAGGAGGGCAGAGCTGGCTGGCTGCCTCAGTGTCTTGCTGGTTCAGTTGCCCCCGAACTCGTGGTGCAGAGCTGCCCACAGCAGAAGAGCCCGCCGCAGCACTCTGACCGATGGACGGGCTCTTCCCTGGACTCAACTCTTGGGCCCCGGACTCTCAGCCTGGGTGCCCCACACCCCTAGCGCCTATGAGTAAGACGGCCCTGGCCCCATTCCCCACTCTCCTAATGAAGCTTGGAGCTGATACTGTCAGTGTTTCTGTGTACGCATGGAGGGAGTGGAGCTACACATGCATTCCCTTGCGTGGATCAGGTCCCTCCATTGAACTCAATGGGGCCACTCACATGCATAAGTGCACATGAAACCTCAGATCCTAGCAAACAGGGGCGGCCCTCAGATGTTTTGCCACTCTGCGCAAAACTGAAAATGCCACCCCCTCCTGCCAGTTCCTTCTCCTTTTCCATCACCCTGGGAGTAAACGGAGGTCAGAGAGGAGTGGGTGGCAGTGCATGCATGCAAGCACATGGGGGTGGGAAGTGAGTGGCAAGCATGTGGTGACAGCGGGCGGGCATGCAGTGGAGGCACATGGCAGTCATGTAGCAGTGGTGCCGCTCCCAGCTGTCCTGAAGTGACTGCCTCATCAGACCTCATGCCTTCAGGCAAGGGACTTATTTTACCGGATAGAACTGAATGGCTCATCCCTAAAAATATAAGCCATCATTTATGATTTACATCTGAACAAGTACAAAATATCCTTTTAGCAGAAAAGTTTTACTACAAGCCTGGGAGATGATGGCATTCTCCAGGTCACCAAGGGAGGGAGGGGCAACCAGCTTCTCCAAGACAGGCAGAGTCTGGATACTGTCAATTGCTATGTTGGAGACCATGTTCTCCCATGAATTTGGTTCTTGATAGTGCTCTGCCCATCACTTCATCTGCTTGCTGTGGTCTGTGATGATCTCTCCAGACAATGTTTTCAGTGGTGTAGTTTTCCTGATTGTTAGTTGAATGTCTTTTTTCATGCCACTGTCAGCAGCAAGTTGGATGCTCTGGCACAACTTTAGCCAGTAGTCACTGGTGCATCGTCTGGCAATCTGCTGGGCACCATTCATTGCCTTTCTCAGTGTAGCAAATGTCTTTTTGCAGGGCACACACTTGTAGTTCACAAGAACCTCACACTTTGCAGTAATAACAGGACCTATGTCCTTAATGCCAACCTCAAATCAGTTTGGGACCTGCTGCTCTCTTTTGCCAAAAGAGGACATAGCTGTGTTGTAGGTTGCCTCTCTGATGTAGTTCCACCTTGCTTTGCTGCTGTCTCAATAGTGCTTGCTTGATGGAATCGGAGAAGCATTCACAAAATCCAGGTATGGCTATTGTTCTGATAGTGTTGATTTGAGGTTGTAATTTCTGCTTTGTGCTATGGATCCTCTTTGGCTGGAGAAGGATATTGCTTACCATCAGGGAGTGTCACAGCACGGTGGTAGTTCCTTGCAACACAAACACAGTTAAGTACTCATCCCTTGGTGACAATAAAGTTCCAGCTGGTGCCAATGGCCTGACTATGGAAGTCTCCAGAACACTCGCTGTTTTGCCTTGGCAGAGAAGATGCATGTTCTCATTCATGCTGCCAATACTGGCGTATGCAGTTGTCCCATGTGTGATTATCATCCCCAACTCTGGCATTGATGTCTTTCAGCAGTATTAGGTGTTCGTAGTCTGGGACCCTCCTGACAGCCTGGTCTAGTACATCACACTAAATAGGTCCTTCTGTATGTCAGTGGGAGTCTAAACACTCAAGATGCTAACCGGACTGGAGATGGCAGAGAAAAGGCAAGAAGAGAGTTCCTCACTGCAAAGTCTACACTGTGAATACAAATGGTGACCATTTTGTGTTAGGGTTCCTTTCCTGCCCCCCCCCCCATGTTGGTTGTGCGCGCATAAGCCTTTACCCCATTACATCCCTGTTCTGCTCCACCCTTCCCCCGTGCCACCCTCTTCCACCACCGTTCTGCCCTCTTCTGGGTACAAAAGGACTCATGCATCGGTGGTCCTGTGACAATTGGAAGCACACAAAATTGTTTCCACATGTATGTGGTTCTTCTGGATGCCCTCTTTACCAGAAAAAAGGTGTAGTTCTTCCCTTGGAGGCTGCCATTTGAAGTAAGTCTGGTTCTCCTGTACAGCAGTAATGTGAACATTACCATACTGTACAAAGGGACATTCTGCATCCTTTGACTCAGCTACTCTTGTCACTGGCCCCGCCCACCACTGATATCTGAAAATTTGCATTCAAAGAACTAAATTTGTACAATAATAAAAACTAAACCATAAAAAGGAAAGGGAAGATAGAAATGTGACCTTTATTTCCTACCTTTCCCCATTTAGCTCAAGTGGCAAACAGAGCCCTTTCCCCCAGTTTATCCCCACCTGTGTGAAGTAGGCTATGCTGCAAGAGAACGACTGGCCCATGATCACCCAGTGAGCTTTGTTCCCAGGGCTGACACCGTCATGAAGCTGAATGAAGCAGATGCTGGGTGGTGCAGAGGGGAAAAAACTGGGTTGGTGGGTCTCATGCATTAGAACATAAGAAGAGCCCTGCCCATCTAGTCCAGCATACTCTTCTCACAGTGGCCAACCAGGTGTCCATGGGGAGCCCAGAAACAGGTTCTGAGGGCAATGGCAATCTCCCCACTTGTGATTCCCAGCAAACAATGCCTCCACCAGTGGAGCATGTCTCACAGCTACTGATAGACTTGTCCTCCATTAATTTGTCTAGTCCTCACTTAAAGCCATCCAAACTGGTTCCCACCTTCCCCTCCTATGGGAGAAAATTCCATTGTTTAGCTACATACTGTATGAAGAAGCAATTCCTTATGCTGTTCCTGAACCTTCCATAATTCAGCTTCATTGGATGCCAATTCTCTACATTCTGTCACAGTGCGATGTGTCCAGCAAACAGGTCTAAATGCAGACACCGGCTAACCCTGTTTCTTAGGAAGCTGAATTTGATGGGACAAACGATCCATGTGAGAGATGGATGGGAAGTCATCGGGATTGCCTTGTTTTTAATTTTTGAAGGCTTCTGCTACTATGAGAGAGAAGGAAATTTTTCTCTGTCCATTATTTCCACACTAGCCATCATTTATACACTACTATCATGGCAACTTTTATTGCCCTTACTCACCTGTCCTGTACCAAGTTAGCCTGCTGGCCTCAGGTGAAGTGGAAGATGTTGAAGGAAAATTCAGCTGCCAGTCTGGTCAATTTTGTACATGAAATGGCCTCAGGCAGCAAGCCAGCCGTTTACGGCTGAATGAGCATTCAAAACTGCCTGTCCCCAGTACCTTTCTGACACTCTTAACTATTCACACCACACTACTTAGAAAAGCGAGGTAAGATTTTTTTAAAAAAAAGAATCCTGAGCTTCTTCAAGCAAAGTGAAAGTGCTTGTAAAGTCAAGAAGAAAAAAAGTTTACACAGCTTGCTTGTGGTCCCAAGTGCAGTATGGTCGTGGCCAGGCAAGGTCAACACCAGGAAATAAAGACACAGGGCACTGGTGTTAGGGGAAAACAGGCCACAACTTTTATTGATTACAGATGTAAGTAGGCTTTGGTGAGGGCACTGGGTGTAATCTGGTATCACCAGCTTGCCTGCTGATTGATACGCTGGCTGGGTCAGTTCTGTGTTGACGGTTCCCCTATGACATACATCAAATCAAGCAAAAGACCAGAACTGCTGTGTGGAGGGGTTCTATGACCCATCCGTTCCTGTGTGGGCTTTCCTTGCTGGAACCCTTTAGCGGGGTACCCAATAGTCTAAGGAGAACCCAACCCAATGCCTAATCTGCCCAAAGTTGTGATGATTGCTATGAGGTCAGCGAGAACCTTATATCAGCCAACTTGTCGGCAGGAAAAATTCCTTCCTGGCCCTGAATATGGTGACCAAGTATTCCATAGCAAGGTTCACAGGGTCCCATCTGCTCACCTCCAGGCAAGATCAGACAGCACAGGGCAGGTGGGAAGGGAAATCCCATAATGGTCTGAGCTGGAAGGCTCTGGTATAGCTTCTATATATTGCTAACTGACAAACCCAAGTGGAAACTGTGTCCATCTGCCAGGGCTGTGCCTCCCAGCCCATTCTCCATTGGTCTGTTTTGAACAAACAGTTCCTGATGCTCTGCATGGCTGTGGGGAAGGCATTAGTGTTCTCACCTGGCTGTGCAGGACAACTGAGAAGTCCACGGCTGTGCCTCAAACTGCTGTTCCCCAGCCTAAAACTGGTAAGCAGCCAACCCAGTCCCAAGCACAGTTAAAGACACAGGTTGCTGGTGTTGGGTGAAAATAGGCCACAACTTTTATTGATTACAGATGTAAGTAGGCTTTGGTGAGGGCACTGGGTGTAATCTGGGATCAACCAGCCTGCCCACAGATTGATACTCTGGCTGGGTTGGTTCTGGGTTGGGGGTTCCCCTATGTCATACATCCAATTGGGGTAACCCACCAG